TTTGTCCATCAGGGTTCAGCATCATTGAAGTCTGCCTCTAGACCTGAGGAAAGAGAAAAAACAAAAGCAAGAAACCACAACAACAAACAACATATACATATATAATGATACTTACAACATCATTTGAAAACATCTGGTACATGGTAATACAAGATGTATTTAGTGGCCACTGCAACCCAACTGAGTGTGTATCTGATAAACACCTGAATCTAAACACCTGTGTGTATTTGTGTGTGAGCGTGCTTGTGACTATAAGGTTTCTCCATAAGAATGTTCAATAGTGAGCGTGGGGACCCACAGATCCGCCCCCCAGGACATGACGACGACACAGGGAATACCGGAGGCACAGACATCCAGTGACCCCCAAGCCCGGAGCCCCCCAACAGGGACAAGCGCGCCCCCCCCACCAAGTTGTTATTCATGTTGAACGTCGACAACAAACTGGTTGATCCATTTTGAGAAGGTGCTATTTATAAGACTGAGATGAATACAGCTCCTCGAGACTGAAGAAGTCTTTCAGATGAAAGAAGAAACATTTCCACAATGTCTTTTAAACCATCCAGAGGACCTGACTTAACTTTTTTAGATAGAATCTGATTAATCCTTTCCTGCAGTACTTCTTATCTGACCCTTCTCCTTGCTCCTCATGGGTCCTGACATTACCTGTGCCGTTATTTATCACTGTAAAGAAACTCACTAAACTTTCCATCCTGTCTTGGAGTTGTTCATTATTCAGTCTTTTCATCTGGGTATTCAGTTCTCGTAACACATTGCTTCTAACAAAAAATGTAACTGAGCAAACTTGTTGTTTTCTTTGCTCAGGCATAAATGAAGACAGTCATCAGACGACCACATCAGCATAGAGAAAACAGACAAACTGTAAAGTGTCACACGAAGAAACTTTGAACTCTCAGAAGTGCGTTAGGGATCTCTCAGATGTCATGACTCCCCTCTGAAGTAAACAGATTCCTCTTAAAGTGCAGGCGTCTCTCAAGGAAAAGTTAATTTCTGAAAAACAGAACAGAGAAGTTTGTTAAACACATTATAATTAGGGGTGAACCAATAAATCGGCCGGCCGATTAAAGATGTATTGGCCCTGATTTCCTTAATTTTGGGAAATCAGAAATCAGCCGATACTTGCATGAGAAACCGATTTTACAGATTTTTTTAATTTTAACAACAATTGTCTGAACTTCATTTATATTTCAAAGCATTACCTCAAGGCCAGCTAAAACAAGTTTGTATAGTTTTTAGGATATTGTTTAAGGGTATGTTTTTCAATAAAATAAGATGGAAAATTGAAGGTGCGTTGTGACTTTATAACTCCAGACAGTGTCGATTATAAAACACAATCGGAATCGGCAGCTCAGACATTTAGAAATTGGTGATGACCAGAAAACAGTCTGTGCCCCCCTAATTATAATATTTCACATGATTTCATTATAATGACTGCAAACAATATTCAACATTAGTCATGTTCACATAATCAAATAAAACACTTTAATGACTTTTTTCTTTCTTAAAAGCATAGAAGAAAAGAGTAAACATTAGTCAGACTGTAACTGAGTCCAAGGACAACGAATGTGTGAAAACATCAGACATTATCCAAGTCAAAAGTAACTTTAAAGAAAACAGTTCATGGTGAGTGTGGAAGACAACCTAAAGGTCAGAGGTCATAGTCAGGGGAGCACATCTTCATGCTCCATAAAAGATGGTCCCAGAAGGAAATTAAAAAAGCATGTAATACTAATATTCTTCAAAAACAGTGTAAGAGTATACCACAGCTGATGGATAGCTGGGGCCAAGAAGGATTCTGCTCTTTTCCTGCTGCTGCTTCACCTTTTTGAGTTATTGCCGTAAAGCAGCCATGCTCTGCAGAGCAGAAGGTTTGCAAACAAATTCACTGCAACTTCTGCGGCTTTGCTCAAAGTCCCACCAGCATGATCATGGAAAGAGGCTGCAATGTGCTGGATTTTAAATTTGAATATCTAACTGCACCTCAAACAAATCCAACTTTGAACTCTCTCCAAATTTAAGTTGAATCACAATTGCTTGATGGTAAATGTTCTTTGGCTTTGATGACGATAATTGTGGCAAAGTGAAGATGCTTACTGTCTGTTTCCAACACATGTGGGCCATGAATTATTAATGTAGGCCAACTAATGGAAGAGAAGAGGAAAAAAACAGTCATATGTTTTGTAAATCTCTGAACGCACACAATCTTGAGTTGCCTTTGTGTTATTTGTGAAAGCCTTTAAAACAAAACTAAAATCTACAGAAATAGTATGTATAAGATTGATCAGCGACAGAAGAGCATATAAAGCTGCGTAGTTGGAACTGCCGGTGGAGCTGCAGATCCCTCCGTGTGCCTGCCTGGACTGAACTAGTGGTGTGGGCCTCAAGTGTTTGAGGGGCTCCGGTGGTTTTTCAGCCAATAAATACCCTGCACAGATTTAACCCAGTCAGACGTCCAGGAGAGCAGCACTGGGAGATGCATGGCCATTACTCAACAGCCCACATCAGAGAGAGGAGCTCAAGATCTGTTCACCTCAAACCTTGCTGATTTTAGAAAGTCCAGGACAGAACAGAGATCCAGACGCAGGAATCACAATCGTGGGTTGGAAGTTTTACGTTTTAAATTCCCAATTAGGACAATAATTTTATAATAAAATATTGTACATTTTTTTCTTCTAAAAAAACAGGTTTGTGAATTTTCTACCAAGAAAAACACATAAATGCACAAAATCTTATTACATGTTTTGGATATTTCAGGAATGCTTAAAAATAGTTCTTTAATTGAGCTTTGCCCTTTTTAATTTTTTTAGGTCTTTGACTTAATGTATTTTTACTTGTCAATTGAGGTCCCTCATCTTTGGAGCTGTTAGTGGTGCCAGTTAGCTGACATGTTTTACATGGAACTGGGAACAGAGGGGGAGCATGACTGAAGTCAGCATGGTCCAAAGAGCAGATATCTTTGACAAATACTCCATCTGCTGCTCTGACTTCACCAGTAACACGTGACCATTTATCACAGGCTTCTCTCAGAACATTTCTTTAATTTTGTTAGCTCAATATTCTGAAAAAATTAAATTAAATCAAACACAACTGCTCCAGTTTATATACATCAAAGGACAATGAGAACATGTAGCGTGCTCTGTAATTTTTCTGGCCATAAAGCGAGCTTATGTTTCACATTCATGGATGGCGAGTGCTCTGTCATTTATTTTTCTATTACAACAATGAACCACCTACCGATATTTATTTTTAAGGGTGCAACAAGGAGTTTAGACTTATGAAAGGATAAATAAAATTCACACATCCATCCATCCATCCATTATCTTTACCCACTTCTTCCATTTTGGGTCACAGGGTCGCCGGTGCCCATGTCCAGCAATCACTGTAAATATTTTTATGAATTAAAAAAATTAAATAATCTTTGAGAAAGCAGGTATATTGTCGTGTGTTTGTATATAGCTATAAAATGCATATATGAGGTTAAAAAAAATTAAAAACAGGAACATGTCTGCATTGATTTTTGCAATGCAGACATGTTCCTGTTTTTTGTATTCTACCTCATTTCATAATGTAGCTTGATTTTATTTTGTTTTATATCACTACTTTTATTTACGTTTTACTTTATATGCATTTTAATGGCTATTTATTTTTGTGTGCACCTTATCGGTGGTTTGTCTAAAACAGGTCTCTCTTGTAAATGAGTCCTTGTATCTCAATGAGACTACCTGTGGTTGAATGAAAATATAAAATCAAAAGTAAATAAAAATAGTGATATAAAACAAAATAAAATCAAGCCACATTATGAAACCAGGTAAAATACTAAAAAACAGGAACATGTTAATGTTAGATTGATTTTTTTTTCAAGAAGGCTCTTATTATTTGTCCTCTGTTTGATCTAAAAACAAATCTGCTTAATTCCAGCAGTCATTTTAAGTTATGTTTTACCAAGCCAAAAAGTGAAAATTAAACTCTTTTGTCTCTCAGCTTTCTTGTGATGGTTTCAATTGTAAACTAAACTAATTCATTCTCCATCTGTATTCAAACAAGAACTCCAGTTGTTAAAACTTTCATTAGACAGAGCTAAAAAACCACAAGCAAAAAAAGCTCTGATCACCTCGCTCAGATAATATAGCCCTCTGACAAGTTATTTTAGTAATTATGTAGATTCTTAGATAAATAGTTAGTTGTTTAATTTACTGTACTATATTATTTGCAAACTCTCAAATAGTATTATTACCTAAATTTAAGTTTATGATGGTTGATATGATAATTCGTTTAAGAATATGTTGACCTTAGGAGGTATGATTGTAGATATTTGTATATGTTTATATGTATCATTGTAATTTGAGATTGTCATTTGTTGTTCTATTTGTGTTCTTTTGTTCTGTATGTTCAGTAGATCAATAAAGATAAAAACAAAACAAAACAAAAAAACAAATTCATTCTCCATTGTTTTACTGTACAGTACTGTGGTTATTTTCGATTAATTCTACCAGTGGTCGGTAGGGGGCAGCACTACATATTGTCCGTGCGTAGTCTGCCGCTAAATCATTAGAAGAAGAATACGTTAGCAGCCACAGAATGTCAGCCATTGGTCGTTAGTGTTGTGTCGAAAAAAGCATCCTTGACGTAAAAAGCTCCTCCCGGGAAACGCTTATTTTTACGAATACATTGAGTAAACACCATAATATAATGAATAAACACAGTAATATAAATTATGTCACAATGTTTACTTTTTTTTTTGTTGTAAAGTAATTTGCCAGGATATGCACTTCTTGCTACAGCTCTCTATTATCAGAATCCAAACTAAACTCCGAAAAATACCTTATACGGTAACAAAAATGTCCAGGGTGTGCATATATGTCACAAAATCACCCTTTATATGTAATCGTTGATTTAAAAGATAAGGATTCGTACTTTTCGCCTCGACACGCGCCCCTCACGACGGGGTTACCTTTTCCGGCAGCACACCAGTGTGAGCCCGAGCATCCTTCTAGAAAAGCGCCACTTAAAGTAGAAGATACGGACTGGAAATTAAACCGTAGAAGAAGAAACGGACTGTACCAAGCGCTGCACACTTAACGCGAAGCCCCACGAAGGAGAACCTCTTTGTAGACAAAGAGTATAAAGGTATGGGGTCACCGCCACCAACGCTGAACGGATGTTCGTTATGAATTTAATAATCTTTTGTCATCTGTATTTCAAACGGCCGAACAAAACGCGACAACGAGCTTTTTTCGCCGCGTCCCGACGTTGCCTTTTTGTTTTTCGCAGTTCGAACTTAACGTCTCGTGGCGACAGCTTTCAATGCGAATCGCGTTTAACGCGTGTTTCAGTGGATTTAGCGGCTGTTCGGACTGTCAGTCGGTGAAGTGGAGGCTTTGGCTCGTCCCGTGAAACAACATGCTATCTGCTAACAATGGGACACGGAGGTTCGGACTGAGCTACGTGAACTGGTTCGGTGTAACGTTACCGCTCTGAACAAAGTGCCTTTTGAACAAGACCAGCAGCGGAATTTACAATGTCCACGTCCGGAGGTTTTCCAGAGTCGCTAAACGCTTTCTGGAAGGAGAAGTCCGTGCTTTCACTCGAGTCTAGTGCTTTTTAACTTTAAGCAGGAGGCCGACATTTTATTTGTTCCCGTTTTGTTTTAATTCGGCGTCGAAGCACGATGACGCATTTCAGTCCAAATCCCAGAATCAAATGTTAAAACGCGTTCAGATGTCGGCTTTATGCGGGTTGTGCGATGGGTTAAAGCTTTGTCGTATTTATGTTAAAATTAGGAAACAAACCTCGTCATCCCTGTTCTCAACTGTGGAGCAGTTTAGCTTCTAATTTTGGGATTTGTGTCCCAACCCCATAAGGATTAATTATATATAAAAATAATCCAGCATCTCACCACCATCATCAGGTTTGAAGAAGCCTTTTGGGTTCTAATGTCCTGAGCAATACTGAGTGTATTAGTCCTGTCAAGCACCTTTATGATGAGCAGAAGTAGAGATCTGAGCCCAAACCTCTTCCTAAATGCTCCACACAACAATTGAGCATCAGTTCCCACAGAAACCTCCCAACACTTGTGGAACGCCATGCAAGAAGACTGGAAGCTGTTGCCCTGACAGTCCCTGTTGATCAAATATGGACAAGTGCATTTGTCCTCGAAGTGAATATATTAATAAAATCATTATAACGCATTTACTGTAACAGTGACCGAGTATGAACAATAAAAGGAACATTGCAACCATTCATGTGAGAGTTGGTAATAATCATAGGGGCTGAGATGTGGTAGAGGCAGGGCAGCCGACGTGGGACCAGAAAGTTGCGGTTCGACTCCCAGCCGTTCCCACATGTCGTGATGCCTCTGAGCAAGACCCCCCCACGCCCGGGGGTGCTCACTGCTCCACCTGGGTGTATCCCATGTTCAATGGGTTAAATGCAGAGGACTCATTTCGTCATTATATGGGAACATACATTGATGACAACATATAGCGCTTATACTTATCACAAGGTAAAACTTGATAATTGTGACTCCTCTAATCCCGCTCTTAAAACAAGAGTACAGTACATTCATGGTTTTGTTCACTCCAATAACGTTTGCACAACAGCAACGTTATAAATAGTTTTATTTATTTTTAGTAAATTGTATTCCATGCCTTCTACCTTGTTTGTATTTTATGATGCATAATGTGTTGTCCCTATCAAGATGCCTTCAGCAGCTGTCGGCAACAATGCTGTCCAGTCTGTTGTGCCAGACCTGGGAAATGGAAGTCACTCTGAGGCCATGAAGCAGTTTCTTGGTGTCATTGACAAGAAGGTTCGAAATATGGAGAAGAAAAAGGTATGCATATAAAATGTTGATGTTATTGCACCTCTTCTTCTTAGTGTGTGCATTTAATCAGATTAATTTTGCTTTTTGTCATCAAATATATCAATCACAGTCACTGATCTGAATTCAGTTGATGGTTTCTAAACATGCTGAATACAAGAAATGCAGAAGTAATTTAAACTGTATTTCTATACAGTTGATAATAAAACATTGTCTTTGTGTTTGTATCAGCATTTTTTATGCTAGTAAATAAAGTTTGTGATTGTTTTATGAAGAAAATACATGAACTAAGTGAAGCAAAGTCACAGCTCATGCTTTGATAGCTTAGTTTTTGCAAATATTTATCAATTCAAGTTTTTATCTCGTCATTTTGCCATAAATTATACCTTTTAATGTCTTGTGATGAATTTACAGTCCAAACTGGATGATTATCAAGCAAAGAAGAATAAAGGAGAAAGGCTAAATCAAGATCAGTTGGTAAGATGATGAAGTTGGAGGTTTCCCTAATTGTTTTATATTCTAACTTAAAAACTTTTTTTTTCTGTACACCCCTCTTTTTTAATAGGAATATTTATTTTGCTATTGATAAACAAATGCAACTTTTCTTTCCCGATGTTTGTGAAGGAGGCCTTGTCAAAATACCAAGAAATCAGCAACAATCTTGATTTTACTCGAGAGCTGCAGAAGAGCTTCTTGGCACTGGGTCAAGAGGTAAGAACAGTGCTTTTTAGGTTTCTGATCAAATCTAGTTAGTCTTTTAAAAACTTCTGATTGTATTAAATGTTTTGTGACTCCTTTGGGAGAAGAGCTTCATCGTCAAACCCTGTTCTGAAAGGCCACTGGTGTTTGTTGGACCCTGCGTGGTGGTGATGTACCAGACGAGGTTGACAGTTGCTTTGTGAAACCGACTGCGCTTGTGGCTCTAGGTTCAGAAAGCAGTGAAGAAGTCTGCGCGACGAGAACAGCTGCAGCGGGAGGAGATGGAGCAGCGGCGACTGAAGACGGTTTTGGAGCTTCAGTATTTACTGGACCAACTGGGAGACGATAGTGTCAGGCAGGACCTTAAAGGACTTGATGCTGCAGGTTCTCCTCTGCTCACCGACACTGACCTGGCATTCTTTGATGAGTTCTACAAATTGGTGGTACCTGATAGGAACTGTGATCTCAGGTGTGAAGTGCACGTGTCTTTATTTAGAGAGGGCCCATCATCATTCAGTTAGATTTTAAATTGACGGTCTTCTTGCAGGTTGACTGAACAATACGAAGAGGCCTCGCTACACTTGTGGGCTCTGCTTGAGGGCCGAGACAAGACTGTGGCAGGAACCACGTGTGAGTGTTTTTATCCTCTCTGGGCACTCGGTTGTTTACATTTGATGGAAGTCTGAACCATTTGAGGAAAACCGTTTATATTAATCTAACCAGGTTAAGTCAGGTCCTCTGGACGGATTCTTCTTGTTGAAACGTTTCGTCTTTTATCCAAAAGACTTCTTCAGTCTGAGGAGCTGCAACAAACTCAGTCTTATAAACATCACCTTCTCATGGCAATATACAATATGTATCTCAATATTTGTGTTCTTTCCATAAAGTAATAACAGAACTATATTTCTGAGTCAAAGCTTAGTCCCAGTTGTCACACAGGCACTTTTCTTAACAAACAGCTGCAACTGTACAAAATAAATGTCTCAAAACCAAAAACAGCTGTGCACTTAAAATTTAAACAGATATTTGTCTCCTTGTTTTTTAATGAGAAGACAACTTCATAACACTGCTCGAAACCAGTTAAGCCCCCAGTATACTCCCGCGTACGTACGCGTGTACTGTACGCAGAGGGTTCAGACTTGGTACTCGAGCCTCCACCCTGAGCAGCTGCAGAGCAGCTTCACAGACGAGGGGCGTTTACCTTCGGGACAAATTGAGGTCGCCGATTGGTCATTTGCTGACACGCCTACTAGATTGATTGACAGGTCAAAAAAATTTTTAAAAAGCCAGCGCTGGCAGCCTCAGCCACAGCGATGTTCTGTGTTTATATGTTGTTAATAAAAAGATCTAGAAAAAAAAACTGGGAGCGCTGGCCCTGCAGCCCACACATCAGACCAGCCCACCAGGAAATCTCCAGACCCTCCTGCAGCCACGCTGGACCTGAGTTTAATTCGCTCGTGACAAATTCCTTCATTTCTCACCATTTCAGTCATGGCATCAACGGAGGAGGAAGAGATCTCTGCCTCTTGGCAAAAAAACTAAAGAAAAGGCCAGATCAGGGATGAAGAAGAGGAATTTAATACATTGGTGTCGCATACAAAACAGTCCCTCGCTGGGCAGTTTATTGTGCGACACCGCGTATGTGTATGCAGTCGTAAAAATTGAGCTTTGCACGGACATCCCCTGGGGGGTACGCACGTACCTCTGCGTACATACGTACGTACGCGGGAGTATACTGGGGGGGCTTAAATTTTCAGAACGCCAAACTCCTTTGTTGCAGTTACCCAGTCATTTTCACACCTATCAGGAATTTACGTCCGTGTCCCCAGAGCGTCTCCACTGAGTCAACAAAGACCTATTGTGACGCTTGATATCTGCATATGCATCTAGTTTGTTCACAGTTGGAGCTGCAGCAGCACCAGTTTTACACAGCAGGAGGCGGGGGAGCGGGTGAGGGGCTGGGTTTGTATTCAGAGAGGGAGAGGGGCCGTGTGAAGGTGCCGACTGGGAGAAAAACTGGCTGATTTTCAAGTACAATTATAACTACATAGAATATGACACTACATCTTTTTATATTGATATAGTCTCATTTTATATCGCGTATGAAATTATCTCTATTTTTAAAATATTGAGATATCGCCCAGCCCTATTCCTGATATTCATACACCCTTTTCTTTTGTCTTGGTCCCAGACAAGTCACTGAAGGAAACTCTGGACAAACTGATGTTAAGCGGTTACTTTGACAGAGCAGAAACTAACCAGAATGGAGGCTGTGAGTCGGAGGAGGCGCAGGAGGAGCCAGCTGTGGTGGTTGAGACTGCAGCGACTGCAGAGCCGCCGTCAGAACCAGGTACTCATTTAGCAAATGGGTTGTTGAGAAATTGACTGTATGCAGAGAAATTATCACATTCGCTTCTTTTCCTCAGAGGGTTTAACTAATGAAAACTACGCAGAGGCTGGGAACGTGGAACCCTCAGAGGTTGGCACTTTTTGCATGTGTTGTGCAATAAATCACACGGTCACTTATTTTATTTACACATTTATTTAATTATTTATCTTGTGTTGCAGTTTAACAGACAGTTTGTTCCAGAAACTACATATAGCAGTCCAGACAAAGACCAAGTGGACGAGTGGGCAGTGGAGGCTCAGGTATCCTCAGGCGATTCTGTCTATCCCCCTTTCTTCAGCCTCTGAACATTTCTGAACTCTTCGTTTTGTTGCATGTCTGTCACATGTTTCTGTTGAATAGATGAATTCCCTGCAGCATCACTCCCTTGCACAGCTGGCTCCTGATCCCATCCTTCCTGTGAGTCAAGTCCCTCCCTCTCCACCCCCTGACCCCGTGGTCAGAAAGCAGGTGGTACAAGACCTCATGGCCCAGATGCAGGGGACATACAACTTTATGCAGGCAAGAAGGATCTGCACGTCTTTCATGGCCAGTGTGTTGATATTAATGATGTTCATGTTTTGTCTAACACAATAGTGATCTTTCAAATGAGATAGTAATTCTCTTACAATGAAGCAACAATACATTGATGGAATTAGGAAAATAAGTTTTATCTTCATTTTTTAAAGTAAGCTTGAGAATTATGAGCTCTAGCTCAACATTGATTTAATCACTTCTAAACTGGACCATGCTCCAACTTTTGATTTTTATACACATATTTCCTGACCTGTTTGTGTAATCTCACTACCAGTCTGAGTATTTACTCCATTACTGTGACAGATGAAATTATTATAACAAAAGTAAATTTAGACGAGAACGTTTCCAAAATAAAATGTTGAAAATCGTTTAGGATGCTAGAAAATGATGCTCATCTATTTAAGTAAAAGGGGAGAGTTTTAACACTAGTTTATCGAACAAGATCCAAACCTGATATGACTCAGCCAGACATTTATTATTATTTATTTGTTTGTTTGTTCCAGGACTCCATGTTGGAATTTGACGGCCAGGCTCTGGACCCAGCCATCGTTTCTGCCCAGCCAATGAAGCCTCTGCAGATGGTTAACCTGCAGCAGATGGGTGTCCCTTCAAGTGAGTGATACTAGAAGTGTAGTAAACCTGTTTACAAAAATTATTGGTGTGCATGGAAATGCACACTTGATATTCAGTGCCCTGAGACGACTTCTGTTGTGACTTGGTGCTTCATAAATAAACTGGATTGAATTGAATTGCACTTTGTTCCTCCTGGGTTGTTGCCACCTAACAACTGCTGCTGCGTACTTGGATCAAATTTCAACCATTCAAACTTGTAATTGTTAAGGGCGTTCAGGAGGTTTTTGGCATTTCTTTTGTTTTTTGTAGTATTTATGATTTTTGAAATGGTAAATTTTATTTAAGCTTCATACCTGGGAAAAATTTCAGCAGCTTGGATTTGGTTCAATACCCCCCGTGACGGCTTAATATGGGAAGTTCCAAAGACACATGAACACATTTATAGTCCCTGGTTTTAAATTCAGCATGAGTTCACAGTTTTACATAGTTTTTATACGGTGTCTTTAATAATATTATTTGACTGCTTATTGTTTCGTGTGCAGCACTGTAGCCAGTGGCAGACGTGCTGAAATGCTTGAGCCAATTTAAATTGATAAGAGGCTTCAAGCAAAAGCAGATTTGTATTTCATGTACACTTTTTTTTTTTGTAAGAAAAACTTTCTATTTTTTTTTTCCTCTATTTTCTGCAGTTCACTCGGAGTCGAGACTTTCTCAAACACCTACAGTATCTGGACTACCAGAGTGCTCTCAAGTAAGTACAGAACAAACAGCAGGGAGTCACTGGTAGGACTTGGAGTTTTCTGCAAGCATGCAGTTGCTGAGAGTTGTATAGATGCTCAATAATCCAGGATTACAATCCAACATTTTTCAGTCAGGTCATCTGGACAGTTTCTTTTTTTTGTGCTGAAACGTTTTGCCTTTGAAAGATTATCGAGCATGGACTTTGTTGTTTTCAACCAGTTTGATGAGACTGTCAACAAGGAAGAGGGCCGGCAATGGAGGAGGGGGCGTACCAAAGAGACCATCTTATCACAAGCAGAACTGGTTTGTTCCACTTTGGAGTAAGCTGTTGGGGGAAGAATCAGTTTTGCTGTGTGTTTCCTTGACTGATGAAGCCTTCTGGATCGAAGGCGAAACATTTCAGCACAAAATAAAGAAACTGTCCAGATGACCTGACTGAAAAATGTTGGAGTTATATAGATATTTCAAATATCACACAGTATAAATACTTCATTTATTAATTGTGGCGCTCACATGGCAGAGAATCTAAAGTTTTGTTTTTTTTAAGGCGGTTATCTAAACAATGCGTTAAGTAAATTCAAGCTTTTAATGAATGATCCAAAATCCCATCTGATCCTCTGACCTCTTGATGTTCATTTTTTCCCTCACCTTTCAAATTTCATCATTCCTTCCTACCCAGGCCTCCATTTCTCTGTCAGCTGAACAGTCGTCTGCCCCGTGCTCCTTGTCCACTGCCTTCCCACCTGTCTCCAAGCCCCCCCACTCTGGAGGCATCAATGTGAACGCAGCACCTTTCCAATCAGTGCAAGCGGTATGCTCCAGGCTCATTTAAGCAATGTAACAGTAATTTGTTTAACAGATTCTCTTGGAAGCGTTCAGTTGTTATGTATTGTGCAAGTTAAAGCTTAGGATGGTTTGTGAAAGAAAAAATGTATCCGCTGTTTAAAGCCACTAAATGTTTTTTGTTTTGCAGTAAAATTTGGTAACAGGAACTTATTAGGCAGCAGTTCAACCTTTTTCAATCTGCAGACGGTCTAAATAAATGTATTGACATTTAATTTTTTTTTTAGGTATTCAACATGAATGCACCTGTACCTCCCCCCACGGATGGCCAACCAGACCCCCTGAAGCAATCTAGCCAATTTCCTGGTGGTTACAGTCAGGGCTTTAACAGCCAGTCAGAGAATACTGTAGAGCAGCCTGAAATTCCACCGGAAAGATTACCATCAGGTGAGAGTACACAGTAATTCATCCATCCATCCATCCATTTTCTTCCGCTTATCCGGGGTCGGGTCACGGGGGTAGCAGCCTAAGTAGGGAGGCCCAGACTTCCGTCTCCCCAGCCACTTGGTCCAGCTCCTCCGGGGGAATCCCGAGGCGTTCCCAGGCCAGCTGGAAACATAGTCCCTCCAGCGTGTCCTGGGTCTTCCTCTGGGCCTCCTCCCGGTGGGAAGTGTCCGGAACATCTCACCAGGGAGGCATCCTAAACAGATGCCCGAGCCACCTCAACTGGCTCCTCTCGACGTGGAGAAGCAGCGGCTCTACTCTGAGTCCCTCCCGGATGATCGAGCTTCTCACCCTGTCTCTAAGGGAGAGCCCAGACACCCTGCGGAGAAAACTCATTTCGGCCGCTTGTATCCAAGATCTCATTCTTTCGGTCACAACCCAAAGCTCATGACCATAGATGAGGGTAGGAACGTAGATCGATCGGTAAATTGAGAACTTCGCCTTTTGACTCAGCTCTCTTCACCACGACAGACCTGTACAGCGCCCGCTTCACTGCAGACGCTGCACCTATCCGCCTATCGATCTCATGCTCCATTTTTCCCTCATTTGTGAACAAGACCCCAAGATACTTGAACTCCTCCACTTGGGGTAGGACCTCCTCCCTGACCCGGAGAGGGCACTCTACCCTTTTCCGGCTCAAGACCATGGCCTCGGATTTGGAGGTACTGATCTTCATCCCGGCCGCGTCGCACTCTGCTGCAAACCGCTCCAGCGAAAGCTGTAGATCACGATCTGATGAAGCCAATAAGACCACATCATCTGCAAAAAGCAGAGACGCAATCCTAAGGCCACCAAAATGGATCCCCTCAACACCTTGGCTGTGCCTAGAAACTCTGTCCATAAAAGTTATGAACAGAATCGGTGACAAAGGGCAACCTTGGCGGAGTCCAACTCTCACTGGGAACAAGCCCGACTTACTGCCGGCAATGCGGACCAGGCTCTGACACCGGTCATACAGGGACCTAACAGCCCGTATCAAAGGGCCCGGTACTCCATACTCCCAGAGTACCCCCCACAGGGTTCCCCGAGGGACGCGGTCGAACGCCTTCTCAAAGTCCACAAAGCACATTTAGACCGGTTGGGCAAACTCCCACGCACCCTCCAGGACCCTGCTGAGAGTGTAGAGCTGGTCCAGTGTTCCACGACCAGGACGAAAACCGCACTGCTCCTCCTGAATCCGAGGTTCGACTATCCGACGGACCCTCCTCTCCAGAACCCCCGAATAGACCTTACCAGGGAGGCTTAAGAGCGTTGTTCCCCTGTAGTTGGAACACACTCTACGGTCCCCCTTTTTGAATAGGGGGACCACCACCCCGGTCTGCCAATCCAGGGGAACTTTCCCTGATGTCCACTTAATATTGCAGAGTCGTGTAAGCCAACACAACCCTACAACATCCAGAGCCTTAAGGAACTCCGGGCGAATCTCATCCACCCCTGGGGCCCTGCCACCGAGAAGCTTTTTAACCACCTTGATGACCTCAGCACCAGAGATTGGAGGGCTCGACCCAGAGTCTCCAGGCTCCGCTTCCTCAGTGGAAGACGTGCCGGTGGGAATGAGGAGATCTTCAAAGTATTCTGCCAACTGACCCACGACATCCCGAGTTGAGGTCAGCAGCACACCATTCCCACTATAAACAGTGTTGGTGGCGTACCGCTTTCCCCCCCCGAGATGCTGGATGGTGGACCAGAATCGCCTTGAAGCCATGCGGAAGTCATTCTCCATGGCCTCTCCAAACTCCTCCTATGCCCGAGTTTTTGCCTCAGCGACCACCCGAGCTGCATGTTGCTTGGACTGCTGGTACCCATCAGCTGCTTCCGGGGTCCCACAGGCCAAAAAGGCCCGATAGGACTCCTTCTTCAGCCTGACAGCATCCCTCACCGAAGGTGTCCACCATTGGGTTTGAGGGTTGCTGCCGCAACATGCACCGACTACCTTGCGGCCGCAGCTCTGGCAAGCTGCCTCGACAATAGAGGCACGGAACATGGTCCACTCAGACTCAATGTCCCCCACCTCCCCCGGAACATGTTCATAGTTCTCCTGGAGGTGGGAGTTAAAGCTCCGTCTCACAGGAGACTCTGCCAGACGTTCCCAGCAAACCCTCACAATACGTTTGTGTCTGCCAGGTCTGACCGGCATCCTCCCCCACCATCGGAGTCAACTCACCACCAGGTAGTGATCAGTGGACAGCTCCGCCCCTCTCTTCACCCATGTGTCCAAGACATGCGGCCGCAGATCAGATGAGATGACGACAAAGTCGATCATCGAACTGCGGCCTAGAGTGTCCTGTTGCCAAGAGCACATATGGACACCCTTATGCTTGAATATGGTGTTCGTTATTGACAATCCATGACGAGCACAGAAGTCCAACAACAGAACACCACTCGGGTTCAGATCAGGGGGGCCGATCCTCCCAACCACACCTCTCCAGGTCTCACTGTCATTGCCCACATGAGCATTGAAGTCCCCCAGCAGAACAAGGGAGTCCCTAGGAGGTGCACTTTCCAGTACCCCCTCCAAGGACTCCAGACAGGGTGGATAATCTGAACTGCCATTTGGTGCATAAGCACAAACGACAGTCAGAACCCGTCCCCCCACACGTAGGCGGAGGGAGGCCACCCTCTCATTCACCGGGGTGAACCCCAACACACAGGCACCAAGTTGGGGGGCAATAAGTACGCCCACTCCTGCACGGCACCTCTCACCAGGGGCAACTCAAGAGTGGAAGAGTGTCCAACCCCTCTCAAGGAAACTGGTTCCAGAGCCCGAGCCATGCGTAGAGGTGAGTCCGACTATTTCTAGCCGGAACCTCTCAGCCTCACACACCAGCTCAGGCTCCTTCCCCACCAGTGAGGTGACATTCCACGTCCCAATAGCCAGCTTCTGTAGCTGAGGATCAGACCGCCAGGGTCCCCGCCCTCGGCCACCACCCATCCCACATTGCACCCGACCCCTTTGGCCCCTCCCACAGGTGGTGAGCCCATTGGAAGGGGGACCCACGTCTCCTCTTCGGGCTGTGCCCGGCCGAGCTCCATTGGTAAAAGCCCGGCCACCAGGCGCCTGCCCCACCTCCAGGCCTGGCTCCAGAGTGGGGCCCGGTGACCCACGTCCAGGCGAGGGAACATAAAGTCCATTTGTGTTTCTCATCATTGGGGTCTTTGGGCTGCACTTTGTCTGGTCCCTCACCTAGGACCTGTCTGCCTTGGGTGACCCTAGTAGGGGCATAAAGTCCCTGACAGCATAGCTCCTAGGATCATTGGGACACTCAAACCCCTCCACCACGGTAAGGTGGCAGCCCAGGGAGGGGACACAGTAATTCAACAAATAAAAAAATGAAGGTCACAAAAGATGTGGAGTTCATAGTATTTCATGATTTAAAAAAAACGGGCTCAGCAGCTTTGTGTGGTTCTTTAACCTGCACTCTTTGGCTCCACAGTTGGTGGTTTCCAGACCCAAGAGCAAGTCATGCCTACAGCTGGAGGTCCTGAGGATTCCTCTGCAGCTGCAGGGTTTGGACCGTCCAACCAGTCGTTTTACACAAACAGGGCTGCTTCCAGAGGTGGACCCAGGAATGCTCGTGGAGTGATGAATGGATATCGGACCTCTTCAAATGGATTCAGAGGTATAAGCATCATACTGTCACCAGATAGTCTTATGATTTAATACCAGCTCAAGTTGAAATCTTATATTTAACATCTTGTCATCAGGGGGATATGAAAGTTATCGTCCTTCCTTTCCAAATGCTCCTCCCACCAGTGGATATGGCCAAACACAATTCAACACATCTCGGGATTATTCCAGTAGTACATACCAGAGGGTAAGATGTATTCTCAAGGAATTCAATGCACTGGCTTAACATTTTTTGTTGTATACGCTGCTAATCTTTGTAAATGCGCATTTGTTTTTTTTTCAAGGAGGGATACCAGCAAGGCTACAAACGAGGAACCGCTCAAGGATCTCGAGGTTTGTCGCGGGGCAATGCTCAAGCAATGCGATCTTAATCTCATTGTTTCTATGGACCATCAAGTCGCGCCACGTAGAACATTCAGGATATTGAATGTGTTTACCCTAACTCACTTTTTAAATATGTTTTGTTTTTTACTCTTGGCCCACTCTGTCTAGATCCTCGGCTAAATGTTTTAACACAACATGCTGAAGTTCACCACATGTAGGATTCTCAGCACGTTTGTGCGATGTAAAACTACAAACAGATGTTCCTGTAAACTTGAAAGACTTCATTAACTTATTTTTATTTTTTACAAAATGCAAAAATACCCTGCCATTGTTAATCTGATACCATTTTTTTTCTTGTGCCCTGTGGCATCAAATATTTTTTCTTTAATATAATTTACATAAAGCCATTTTGTTTTTTAACCCACTCAACTGTTGCAGCATAGCCCATTTGTACACTGTTACTGGTTGAGACTGTTTAAATAAAGTTGTATCCTATACGCCTGTCTTAATGAAGCCATGTTCTTTTTTTATGACACTGAATGTTTTTGCAGATTATGTTCAGTTGACAATTGTCAGCAGTTTAATGAAAATATTTTTTGTCCAACAAATGAGAAGTGAATGATCTGCAGTTTTGTAACAACTATATATTATGTATTTACTCGTCTTTGAAGCACTAATGTAAATTTTTAAAGGCAAATACTTAAAATAAGGGATGTTTGTTGTAACAAAGACCCTTGTGACAAAGAACTGTTTAGTCTTTTATTATGTATAGAATATTCATATCTATATTCTTCCATCTTGTACAAAAAGACTGATTCCCATGAAGATGATGCAAAAGGTAAACATTTTTATTATTTTGAAGTGTTTGGTATTGTCCAACGACTTAGCAGCAGTCCCTCATACCGGTAAATGTTTTGTGCAAATCCTTAAGCATTATTGTTTTAAAGGACCACGTGGCACAGAAAACATGACGGTGAAAATGTTTTCTAGGCATCGCACGTTTTCTTTCTTCCATGAAATGTCTTAGTGCTCTTCATTAGAAAGTATCCGTTTAGCTGCAGTTACCAGATAGAAGACGCAGAGCGGATTTAACGATTTCATATAGCACCACAACTAAACCGCAGTTTGTGATTAAAAAAAAAGAACCCATCCCCAATTAAAGACCTCTAAAAAGAATTTGCCAAACTGCAAAGTTGTCAAATCTGGATGTTTTATCAAAATTGATGCAGATGATCCTCACATTGTAACTTTAATCGCTTGTTAATCCATATTTGCATAACTTGATCTGTGCAATAAAACTGTCGGAGGTCCACTTGCATATTCTGGGCGAGTCTTCATTTTAGTAAGTTTACTGTAAAGAAAGTTATGCACGGTCAAAAGTTAAAATTGCTGTTTGGAGGCTTTCTTTGATGTCTTCATTTCTAGCACCTTTATTTTTTTAGCAGAGGAGCTGCAATAAAAACCACAGGCTTGATGTTCATGCCTTAGCTTTACTGACAAGTTGCCACCCCCCCTGAAAATATGATTTGCTAGATAAACCTGCTACAACCCTGGATTTAATGTTCCTAATTTTATCTGAATCTTGGATTTTCAGATGAAACTATGGCACAATCTGAAAACACCTTACATTATTTTAGTGCGTCCTTTGCTCGTAAAATTAAAGACAACCTTTAAAATGTCTCTTGGGTTGACACCAAAGAAAAACATTCCACAATTATTTATGCAGTTTCTTTTCAGAGAACCTAAAAGGGTTTCTTCCCCCATCAACGGCACCAAAAAAAACAAATAAGGCTTTAATTAGAAATTATTTTACACCTCAACACCCTCAAAACACACACATGCACAAATCCAACAACCTCTTGAGTAAAATCGGTCATTTACTGTAAACAAGTTGGGAACCTTGAAGGTTCAACTGCAAACTGAGTTCATAGGGTTTCCTCACTTAAAGGAACTGGTCCAGGTGAAACTTATCTACCTGGATGATTACAACACTTTTTCATAACATTTTGCATTTTGGATACACTTGGTGGAGAATCAGTTCTGCAGCGGGTCTGGAAGTGTCAGAAATGAAGATGTTGAGGTTCTCCTTAGGAGGGACAAGGATGGAGAAGATCAGGAATGAGATCATCAGAGGTACAGCACAGGTTGAACAACTGGGAGATAAAGTTAGAGAGGACACACTGAGATGGTTTGGACATGTCCAGAGGAGGGACAGTGGGTATATTGGTAGATGGATGTTAGAAATGCAGCTGCCAGGAAAAAGACAAAGACATGGATGCGGTTAGAGAGGACATGAAGGTGGTTGGAGTGAGGACAGAGGACAGAAAGAGATGGAGGAGGATGACTTGCTGCAGGAGACACCTGAAGAGGGAAAAGCCAAAAGAAGATGATGTCTACAGCGGGTCATTTAAAAATTCTAATTCCCTTTAGTAATTCAAGTTTTACTTAAACATTTCCTGTGTCACTGTTCTTTTACCATCTTTGCTTCGTGTGTTACCTGTTGTTCTGTCTGTACAGCACTTTGGTTGGCCTTGTAGCTGTTTTAAGTGTTCTATAAATAAAATGGTATGGTATCTAATCTGTGTTTAAAAACTGAAAAGCTGGTTAAAGTGGTCTTCTGATCAGGTGGGACATCTCTTCTGCACGCAGCACTTGAACTGCAGCAAAAGTCTAGTGATGTTTTGACAGCACCGTTATGGCAGGTGGTTCTGGCCATGTGCAACTTCTTGATGGGCTGGTTGTGCATCCAGATGTGTCTGAGGGAGGCTGTGCTGAGGTATGTCTTGATTTTGTACATGATACTCCTGCTGCTGGTGATGCTCCGGCTGCTGCTGGTGATGCTCTGGCTGCTGCTGGTGATGCTCCGGCTGCTGCTGGTGATGCTCCGGCTGCTGCTGGTGTTGCTCCGGCTGCTGCTGGTGATGCTCCGGCTGCTGCTGGTGATGCTCCAGTTGTGTGTGGACATCTTGATGTCCTGGCAGATAAGCTCCTGGATCTGCATGCTGCTGGTTGTCAACTGCATGCATCGCTGGGAAATCATTTCCTTCAACTGTAAAATGAAGACCAGTGTTACATTTTCAGACATTAAAATAGAAAAAGAAAAAATCTAAAACGGTACAATCAACACTCACTGTGAACCTCTGGAAGGGAGTCGACATTCTGCGACTTAAGTCGTTCCATATGTTGAACGGCCTGAAAAGTTAAAATTTGTAAGTGCACGTTGTAGAAGAGAACATCAATTTCATCATTCAAAAAGGCTCAAGATTTATGCAAATCTTTAGCTCAAAATAGCACAACTAAAAATGGAATAGTTTGTTTTTGTCTTAAAATTAATCCGACATCGATTGTACTAAATATAATCGATGTCAGGTGATTAGGGCGCATGCGCACGCTGCAACCAACGGTGTGCTCGAGTTAAAATGACCTGGATCGTCTGCAGTTTGCTTAACAGTGGTGGAGAAAGTACTTAAACACCGTACTTAAGTACAAATAAACAGACAAAAATGTACTCTAGTAAAAGTAGAAGTATCACATTAATGTTTTTGCTTAAGTTGAAGTAAATAAGTACTTGCATTTAAAAATATTTAAAGTATTAAAAGTACATAGTGAATGTATTACCTAATGCAATGGTCTACAATATAATTGTGTGCCTACTGTATGTATATTTTCTGTAATCCATTAATAGTGTTGTTCCATTTTAATGAACGATGCTGCAGATAATACATGTTTTTATCATGTTTACTCTGTGGCACAGTTCACACTTACACATGTGATTCTGTGTCAGAATTTCAGGGATGACCTGCAGAGTTAAATGTCATTAAGCAAAATAAGAGAGGAACGATTTTACCTTTGAAAGTTTTTATTTAACACAAATCAAAACCAATGTGTCATTTTAACTGCAGTAAAACACGTTTAAGTAAAAGTTGTCTGATGAACAAAAGGAGCATTAGACACAACTAACAAAGGAACAGGCTCTGATCAGTTCAACTCAATTCAATTCAATTCAAAAATACTTTATTAATCCCAGAGGGAAATTATTTGTTGTTGTAACTCGTTATCCTCGTTTCATTGAGAGATGTTATAGATGCTGATGCTGTAGACAGGAAGGATCTCTTGTAAAGGTCCATCCCACAGTGGATCCTAAGAAACTGGCTGCAGATGCCATCTGATCCATCCACCCAGACTCTGCTGACCTCTTGGTTCCCCCGGGCTGTAGGACCACCCAAATGCTGGGCAGAACTCCTCCCAGAGTGATGGCCACTCCTCCCAGCAGTCTACTGAGCTCCTCGTCGCTGCGGACAGCCAACTGTAGGTGCAAAGGGACGATCCTGTCCTTCCGCTGTCATGAGCCGTGTTTCCTGCTAGTTCCAGGATCTCAGTGGTCAGGCACTCGAGCACAGCTGGCAGGTAGATGAGAATGCATCCACAGAACATCCTTTTCAACTCATTTGAGATTTGGGGCTGTAGTTGAGATATTATTTGAGCTTTTGAGATGTTAATCAGCTGTTGGTTGTAGAAAACTGCCTCGTTGCCATGGTTACGCATCATAACAAATGTCCAAAACTAAAAAAGTTTCAGTAAAAATTCTTCCAGCTGCACAGCATCTGATACCAGAGGAAACAATCATCCAGAAACTGTGATTTACATCCAGAAAAAGAGGAATTAAAGTTTCCAAAAGCAAAATCTCAGAATGAAAGTAGAGCTGCTCCAACATGCAGCCACCTGGAGCGGCGCAACTCCAGTTTGTCATCAACTCTAGTTAAAATACTGACTAGTTAACCTTGTAATGGATCAACAGTGAACAATATTTTAACTTTCTGACACCATTTTTAAAACTTGGACCCGAGTGTCGAGACATTTGGAGACACCTCTCGTCTCCTAACATCATGAACTGACACATTTTAATGTTGCAGCAAGAATTTCTTGTTCCAAGTTCAGAAGAAGTTGGTTTTCAAATATTTTTTTAGTCCAGTCTGGATCTTCTGGGAGAGAGAATATGTCCTGTTGTACTGAGCAGTCTTTCAATACTCTTTCAATACTCTTTCAATAATGCCAAGGGTGGTGCATATCTTCTGGCTGACTCTCCGCAGTGGAATCCATTTTGGGTGTTTTAGTGGTGCTGCGGCTGCGTCCAGATCTATGACGTATATACTTGAATATACGTCTTTGGCCCAGCTCTTCTTGAAGGCGGGTCTAACGTTACCTGACCACTTTGCAGTAATTCAACGGACCAACTCTCCTCTCGCCATTGGTTACTTTTAAACTAATGAACAAATCAAACGTAACGTGTAACGAGCATGCAGCAGGAAACGTAATGTATTCTAGAAATGTAGTGTAGTAGAAAGTACAGATACTTAATATAAAATGTAGTGGAGTAAAAGTCAAAAGTACCCACGTTTAACTACAGATACATGAAAAATGTTTTTAAGTACAGTAACAAAGTAGTTGTACTTAGTTACATCCCACCATTGCTTATAGACCACACAGAGGAGTTGAGGAAGCCACGGTAACTTTAATGAACCTGCTTTATCTCCAAGTGGCTTCAAACATCTGCTACGGTCCTGGTAAAAAAAACAACGGAGACATGTTCCTGTTTTTAGTTTCTACATCGCCTTATAACCTGTTTTTATTATTTTTATATAATTTTCTTTCACTTGGTTCTTCTCATCGTATGCTTTCTTTTTTGATTGTCCACTGTCATCACTCTTTGTTAGAATCAGGTCTCTCTTGTAAATGAGTCCCGAGGCTCAATGGGATTAACCTGTAGAAATAAAGGTTGAATTAATTTTTAAAACATTTTCAGGGAAAGGGAATACATGCACGGCTTTTCTTCTTCTTTCAGCTGTTCCCTCTTCAGGGGTCGCCACAGCGAGTCATCCTCTTTTTTCCATCTCACTCTGCCCTCTGCATCCTCTGTCCTCACTCCAACTACGTAGTTAATAAAAAGTTCTTAAAAAAAACCCCAAAAAAACAGGGAGCGCTGGCCCTGCAGCCCACACATCAGACAGGCCCACCAGGAAATCTCCAGACCCTCCCGCAGCCACGCTGGTCCTGATTTTAATTCGCTCATGACAAATTCCTTCATTTCTCACCATTTCAGTCATATCATTACCGGACGAGGCGGAAGAGATCAATTGCCTCTTGGAAAAAAAAACAACAGAAGGCCGTTACACCAGACCAGGGATGAAGAAGGGGAATTTAATACATTGTTACACAATAAACAGTCCGTCGCCGGTCAGTTCATTGTGTGACACCGAGTACGCATACGCAAAAATTAAGCTTTGCATGGACACGCCCTGAGGGCGTCCGCTTCGAGCCTAATCCGGTACGCGAGGACCTCCGCGGACTGAGGTCCGTGTGACTGTGGGAGCCTTTAAAATGCCAAATGAATGCTAAAATCTACTGCTTCAAACCTTTGTCAGTAATAGTGTAGTAGTCCTTACCTGCTGGAGTTCCATTTTTTGTGCATTGAGCTGGTCCTGCTGTCTCTCCAGCTCATCTCTCTGTTTTTGCAGGTCAACAGCTCTTTGATTAAGGTCCTGCTCTTGTTGAGTGAGATGCTCCTCGAACTCCCTCATCTCCTCCTCTGTATAAGCCTGGTTTTGCTCCAGAGTCTGATAAAAAAATAAAAGTCACTTTTCCCAGTAGGACTTCTTTTAACGTAATCATTGTAGGATTTAACTGCTCCTAAATATTGCCCACTGTCGTATTAAGTTTCTCACCTCCCAACTGTCTGGCTCCAGAAATTCTTTTTTCTTTGTAGCAACGAGGAACTCATCTAAAGACACCAACCTGTCTTTGTTAGAATCCACCTGAGGCAAAAAAAGAGCAGTGAGCATATTATCAATTATACATTACCACAAACAGTTAAGCAAAGTTAAAACAGTTTATACCGATACACAACATGCAGCAAAATTACATCATCAGTAATAAATGAGCCGACTCAGAATCGTAACAGTTTTAGGAGCTCCATTTAACAAACAATCTTTCAATAATTTCAGTTTTCCATCCTTTGCAGTCCACTCCAAAATTTTGGTGCAAACTATTAATCACAAAATGCTCAATGCTCTGTGTTTTGATGATCTTGTGTTAATAATATAATATAATACATGTAGTTTCATAGCTAAACACCACAGCCTTTTTGGTTTTAGGCTAAATGAGGAAGAGCTAAAAAGAAAAGTAACACTTTCGAGCACTAACCACCAATCTATAACTAATTGTGACATTGGAGGTATACAAAAAGAAAATTGACAAATCAACCAGTTCATCAGTTACCAGTTCACCTTAGAATCCAGTTCAAAATACTCATGTATGTCTACAAATCACTGAACAGTGTCGCGCCTCCCCCCCCATCTCTCTGATCTGCTACAACCGTATGTCCCACCACGTTCCCTGAGGTCAGCGGACCAGTTGCTCCTCACAGTTCCAGGAACTCGTCTTAAGCGCAGAGGTGACAGGACCTTCTCTGTAGCAGGACCAAGACTTTGGAACGAGTTACCTCTGCTTGTCAGACAGGCCCCTCCCTCTTGGTTTTCAAGTCCCGTTTAAAAACTCACTACTATTCAGTAGCTTTCAACACCAGATGATCTGTGTTTTGATCCTGTATGCTCCACACTGGTTTGTCGTCATTATCTGCACCGTTTTTATGTCTATATTCTGATTTACCTCATTTTGTATTTTGCTTTGTGTGTTACCTGTTGTTCTGTCTGTACAGCACTTTGGTTGGCCTTGTAGCTGTTTTAAGTGCTTTATAAATAAAGTGGTATGGTAGCACTTAATAATAATAATATAATAATGTTATGTATCGTCATCATTGTATGTTCCCATACAAAGGCGAAATTGGATCTCTGAATTTAACCCATCCACCACCAGGTGGTCCAGTGGGCGGATATTGAAGGCGCCCGGGGAGCATTTTGGGGATAAGGTGTGCTGCTCAGAGACACCACGAGATGTGCAATGACTGGAGATTGAACCTGGGACTTTTGGGTCCTGTTTCGGCTGCCCTGCCCCCACACCATCTCGGACCCAATTACTGTACCTCATTCATAACATGCTCTCTCATGCGCAGCCTTTCTTCCTCCATTTCTACCATATCATCCTCTTCATTGGTGGGGTCATAAATTTTTTCCAGCTGAAATCACAGAAGGGGAAGAGTCAGCGTTGAGCCAGTGACTGAAACATCTCAGCTGTGGATTTACCTCTTTGGTGAACAATGCCTCAAGCTCCTGCTCATCAAAAAAGCCATCTCCATTAGTATCTGCATTTAAAACATCAATGAATTTATTGTTTTATTTTATGAAATGATTCCAAAGGGTTAGGATAATTGTATTGGGTGATGAGTGATCAGTATTTTACCATGCAGGTTGAAAAATGTCTTTGGATCAAAATCTTCAGGGTCCAAGCCATCAGCTTCCTCCCACACCTCCTTGAGTTGATTTTGGCTGCCCTGCAACACGGAAGCAAAACCTTAGTTCATGAACTTAAAAATAACAGTGATGGAAGGTGTTAGTTTGTCACGGAGGTAAAGTAGCAAGTTGTTTTTGTGCCATATTCTTAATGCACTTAATCACTTACTGGGTGGTTGACTTTAGGATGGTCAGCATGTTTCTTCTTCATCTCTTCATAGTGCTCCTCCTCTTTTTTTCTCTCCTCCTCATCCAGAGTTTTCAGGTGCTCCCGTCTGTCGTGCTCCTTCATCATTTCATACTTCTTGAAGTCCTCGTGTCTTTCTTTGTCATAGTTCTCCAGATCATGTGTGGCCTGGATGCAGGTGAAAACATTTACAGCAGTTACACACAGATTCAATGTCACATATTGCAAAGTTGTTCATAATTATTTATTCTTTGCAGAATTATTCAGAAAGGTTTCTAATTTTCATTATGGTTTGTGAACTTGATAAGAGTTTTTTTTGATACCTCTATTTTTTTTTCTTAACTCAAAGTATTAATTTCTAGATATGTTGTTTTGGAAAATAAAGTTTCTTTCAGCTGCTCTGTTCTTCAGGGGTCGCCACAACTTTTTCTACTTTGAAGTTATGGAAACCAGTGGCACATAAAGAAATAAACGGAAAGGAAAACAGACGGCATGACACAAGATGCAAATGTGCATGAAGTTAAATAGGTGAGCTAAAATATCTCAGAAACATTTGTACACACCTCAAATATAGTGACTTTTTATATTCTACAAGTTATTTTACTCAAAAATTTGAATAGTTGATACAAACTGGTTTAGCTAATTTTCTAGTTCTTCTCTTGTCTTAAAACCATTAAACAGCATTTATTCAAGTCAACAAAAATTCAATATGTCATAGTGTAACAGGTACATTCAATGGTGTAGATTAAAATTTGTTAATCAGAATTAGTTTATATATATATATATATATACACTTTTGCAATAATAATTTTTAAACATTTTGTCCTGATTAAAACAAAACAACACTAAATGAAGGATGCTGCTGTTTTGTATCCTGCACTATTCGACCCCACTAATACACACTTTTTCTCAGAGTCAGACAGTTTACTTCAGCTTATCATTTGAAATAAGAGATTTTACCGATTTAATGAGCCGATCCAGGTCATCCACTTCAAACGTATGTGGGTTCATGTGGTTCAGGTGCTCAAACTGCTTCAGGAGAGCCTGGTGGTCCACTGCTATGTCTTTTTAGGAAACAAATGTTGACATAGACAAAAACAGAATTATTAAAAACATTTTTACCAGCATTAGGCTTAATAGTTTCAGTCGCAGCATCTTATTTTGAATATTAGGCAAACTGAGACAGACTTCATCGCACAATGTACCATTGCCTCCTTCCAAGTCTTGCTTGGCTTTGATCAGGGTCCGCAGTCGGTTCACTTCCTGTCTTTTTAGCTCATCAAGTTTTGTTCGGATGTGATGGCTAACAAAGTCCAGCTCTTTAGCCAGCTTACCTTGCTACATCACACAAAATAAGCAAAAATTCATTTAATTCAACACTACAGAAGAATTACTCACAATCAAAATCCGGAATTATTACAGATGTTTATGTTTTAATATGTTGATTAAAATGTGCTTAACAAAAGAACTAATACACAAAACTACTATATTACAAGGCTGCAATAAAACTAAACTAAAACTACAAACCTTGATGTCTTCCATGTCTGTGTTGTGGAGCTTTTCTCTGAAATGTTGATCCTTCTCAAGAAAATCGATGACTTCTCTGAGGTAGCGGTCATAGTGGAGTCCAGTGTCCTATCAACAAAAAAAGGCACTTAAATTCATAATTTATATATTACTGACAACATAAAATGTAAAGGAAGAACTAGTTTTACAAAAAGTCATTTGTATAGTTAATTATTTGAAACACAGATGAACAGAAAACTGTTAAAGGAACAAAATGACTTCCAGAAGATTCCTCCTGACCAAAGAATCTCTTCAGATTTTGATGCAGAGAGGACAAGTGTTATTCTAGATCAACTGTGCATCTGTTAGGTTAAAAACTATTTTGTAATCCAACAAAACATTTCTGAACATGTTAATATCATAACATTTCCATCTCTTTTAAGCCTATAAATACATAAATAAAACCATAATTCCTGAGCCAGAAGTCCAAGCATTGCATTTGTGGTAATTGGCACGCTCTTAAATTGTTGCATCAAGTTTTATGAACTTCCTCTTCACTAATCTTTTCCACTTCCTGGTCCACTATTTCTATGACCTCTATTCTTCATTCTCTTCATTCATTAGCTCCTCAAAGTACTCCTTCCATCTTCTCATCACACTCTCCTCACTTGTTAGAACATTACCATTCCCATCTTTAACAAGCCTAACCTGCTGCACATCCTTTCCAACCTGATCCCGCTGTCTCTGCAGTCAATACAATTCTCTCCCTCCCTCCTTAGCGTTCAGCCTGTTGTACAACTTATTCACATTCTGTTTGGCCTTAGCTACCTCCCTCTTTGCTCTACAATACATTCCTGTCTCTCTTGCGTCCTCTCACGGTCCCATTTCTTCTTGACAAACCTCTGTTTCTGAAGAGCTTCCTGCACTGGCGAGTCGAGACGGTTCTTCTCGTCCTGAGCATTTCATTGCATTGTTGACCTTGTTTTGATTTGCATATGACAAATAAACCAAACGGGACACTTCACCATTCCACCACCAGGTTTCCTTGTCATCCATTCTCTGTCCAGATGACACACCAAGTACCTTCCTGCCTGTGTCTCTAATCGCTGTTGCTGCAGTAGGCCAGTCATCTGGAAGCCTTTTTTTAACCCCTCAGAGCCTTTAACAGCTCCTCTCTGGACACCTGACAACATTTTTCCATTCTTAACTTCCACCATTTGGTCTTCTCTGGCCTCCTTTCCTTGTCAGTCATCCTACATCCCATCACACTCTCCCCTGCCACAGACTAACAGTACGTTAACTACATACGTACGAATTTCTCCAAAATATTCTAGTCATTGAAAAATAGATTATTTTTTGTTTTATTTGAAATGCGGTGCAAATATTGAAGTCTTAAAACCAGAATAAAAAGTAGAGCCCTCTGGTTGGCCCTGTCATTGTGTAAAGAGCTTTATAAATAAAAAGGTAAAGTTGTTCAGGTCAAACTGAAAACCAGCTCTGAAACAAACATTTTCAGTCTGAGAGTGGTCATCCTTACCACGTTGGCCGGTGGGACCTCTTCGGTTTGTTTCTCTGGCTCTGTCACTTTGGTTTTGTCGATTCCTATCGGAACCGCCTGGACGAACCGACCCAGCAGCAGCTGGACAGCCCAGCCGGCAAGAACAACCCGGCTCCAGCACATCTGGGCAGAAACACACGCTTCAGAGCAGCTCCCATTGCATTTATTTAACAGCACAAACAGGGACATGGAGTGTCCACATGTCAGTGAGCTCAGTGTTTGCTGTGCTCTTGTTAGAACAGATTCTCTGGGCTGACTCTGTAGCTAGCTCAGAACATCAACTATGGCTGCCACGAGCTCTTTCATCGCTGTTATTCTGAGCTACCTACGAGGTTAAAAACACATGTTCATTACTTTAAACGTGACGCAAACGTTTCACTGCGGAGCTCCATTTACGTGTCACTTACTTTAAAATTAATTTTAAACCTCATCTGTCCAGCTTCCCTCCAGTTGCTCCCTCTCAGCTGGATCTGTTGACAGTGCTAACGCGCTAGCCAGCACGGTAGGGTGCGTGCGCAATGGCGTTAATTTGATTGGTCACTTCTGCATTGACGTCAAAACCAACTAGCAAGTTAGGTTGCATTACATCGTACGTGGCGACATGACGACGGAGCAGGTGGGCGGTCCTTCCTTGTTTATGCTAATCTGATGTAGATCAGGTGAAAGGAGCTGAGAAGTCACGTAATTAATTTAACATTGCAAACTGTTCAACTATTGCTACTTTTTATTGTGAAATTAACATGAACAACTTTTTCCAAAACTACCAACTTGTTCTAAAATTACCAATTACTTACGTGAATACAATTATGTTTGTAAGCAATTTTCATTCAACCTTTATTTCTGCAGGTTAATCCCATTGAGCCCCGGGACTCATTCACAAGAGACCTGATTTATTTATTGTTAACAAAGTGATGACAACAGTGGATAACAACATCGACAACAATAGATGCGTACAAATTTAAGTTTTTTTAAACAAGTTAAAATAAAAATGGCAACCAAAAGGAGAATCAAAAGGAAAAGTGGAAAACAAACAGCTAGATGTAAGGAGGTGTAGAAAAATAAATAGGAACATGTCTACATTGTTTTTTAATTAAAACCACATTTTACATCAAAAGCCATTAGTTTATAACACTGGTGATCAAACATTACAAAAGTAAATGGTAATTCTCTTTGTAATTCAGTTTATTTTCTCTTAGTTTTATATTCTCTTGGGAGGATGGCTGTGAAATATAGAAAATATTAAGTACTCAAGTAAATAAATTACAGAAACAGTCCTGTATTGAAGTGTTTATAAGCCATATCTCACAACTATTTATTTAACTGACAGACATAATAATAATAATAATTTCATCTAGTAATGGGTTACGACACATATTTTAAAAGTGTTGCGATTATGAGTATTGCATTTAAATTAGGCACAACGGAAGCAGCCTATCAGGAAAATGCACTGAAAGTATTTCATGTTAACAGCTCATGGGGGGTAGATATTTGTATATGTTTATATGTATCATTGTAATTTGAGATTGTCATTTGTTGTTCTATTTGTGTTCTTTTGTTCTGTATGTTCAGTAGTTCAATAAAGTTAAAAAAAACAGCTCATGGGGGGATTTAGCTCATTAGTATCAATCTTGTTTTATTACTGGATAAAACAAAATTTAATGCAGCAGGTAATATTCATGGGTATATTTTTAGTTAAACATAAAAAATAAAAAAAAAACTAGAAAAAAGTGTTTTTCTACATTCATTAAAAAAAAAACTGTAGGATCTGAAAGGCAGATCAAGTACATTTCACAATCCTTAACTAACATTAAGTTAGTTTACAGATCATAAGGATGTTTTGATGTGTAGGTTTGCAAAATACCTCTCTTGCTTTGTTTCTTGTTAAAAAAAGTTCAAGGGTGCAAAATCTTACAAAGTGCAGTGCTGTCAGCTTTGTACGATGCAGCACTGTGTGATTAATGTGTCCAAGTCCACCTCTAACCTCAGGCTGCTCTGAGGCCTCATGGGGAGATCTTAGGCTCAGGGCCTGGAGATCATCAAACTTCGTTTAGTTCATGATCATTGTACACGGACAAAGATGTTGGCCAAAGCACATGCATTTTATGTGATTTACAATGTTTCATCAACAGCTTGCCTTTTATTCCAATCCATTCAACCTTTATTTAGACAGGTTAATCCCATTGAGCCTCCAGGACTCATTTACAGGAGCACCTGATTTTCAAGGTATGATAAACCAATGACTAAAGTTTGACCAAAAGAATGCAGCTGTGGTGGTTCCTGAAGGCATTAGATTGTATCACAAACTGCAGCATGTTCTTCATTAACATCAATCAAAATCTTGTCAGTAACATTGACCCCCACCACCACCACCACCACCACCACCACCAACCACCTCCTTACGCAGTGCGGTTTGACGCGTAAATGCCTGGTTTGTCCAGGAGAGGGCAGTGTTGTGTTTATTTGAATAAATTCATGTATTTTTTTTTTAATTTTATTCAACTTTTATATGTACAGGTTAGTCTCATTGAGCCACGAGGACTCATTCACAAGAGAGACCTGTTCCAGACAGAACATATAAAGTACATACAACAATAATATCAATAAACTACAGTAAAAAATGCAGTTAAAATAAAAGTAGTGCTATAAAACAATAAATCAGAGTGTCTTAAAATACTAAATACATGAACATATTTGCTCTTGTTTTTTAGTATTTTACCTTGCATTAGTATGGCACCCTGATTTATTGTTTTACAACACTAAATCATGATCTGTGCTTTGGCATATTCACTTCAATTCAACCTTTATTTCTACAGGTTAGTCTCATTGAGCCTTGAGGACTCATTTACAAGAGAGCCCTGTTTATAAAAAATAAAAAATAAAGATCGGTCTGCATGAGGATGTTGAATGGGACAGAAATACTGGATCAAAAAAACTGTAATAAAATGTAATTCTTGTCCAGTGTCATACTTTTGTAGTTGTTCAGCAGCAAGAGCATAAAAATATTACATTGAGTTTGAAGAATAGATTATTAGTGTTCCTTGTTGCAGGTGATTGGGCAGTCTAATAAAAACCAGGCCTTAGTTGGCAGGGAGTTTTAAACATTAGCTTTCTACTGGAATTATGATTGCTGAGATAAAAATATAGATAAATATCTAAAAAAAGAAACAATTTTATGATCCTTGGCAGCCATAGCAAGACTATAAGTTTCTCCCTGGATGAGTGAGTTTATGACTAAATATAACATCCGTGCCCTGCAGATGTCAGTGTAACAGCTCAGTGAGCTGGGAGGTAATTAATCATCTCCTTAAAATCAGAACAAAATTGTAAAGTGAGATAAAGCTCTCGTGGATAGGTCTGATCAGCACTTCTTTTCATCAGCAAGGATAAGATGATTAAATGAGCTGCATACTGGAAAGAATATGGCTGTCGTAATATTACTCCAGGCTATATGTGTAAATACTCATTTAGACTAGGGATGCTTTAAAAATAACCCTCTCAGAAAGAAAAAAAAGACTATGAGAACTTGAGCCGAATATGTTAGAAACGATGAACAGCAAAGTCACAGCGAAACGATCTTTATTTTATTTTGTGCTGAACACCTTCTGTAAGCTGTGATTCAGCAGGAGGAGTCTCTCTGAGGAGAAGACGGTAACATTGAGTCACCTTGCTGCATTGTAAACCTCCGGCAGCCGCAGAGCCTCCACTGCAGAACTTCACTGGCCTGTGCACCAACCATGTGTCTATTTGTCTGATTAGGTTAGTATGTAGAACTGATGGTCCACAAAGTGTGTATGATAAATTATGGCAAGGTCAAATGACAGCAGCAACAAGATGATTACGCTGCAGTATGTACAGCATCACGTCCATGCTGCTCTGCTCTTTATGTTCCAAACCGGCTGAGGAATCCACAGCCACTTACTCCAAATGACAGCATGTTTAAGGTATTAATGTCATTGATTGAGTCTAAAATAATTAATTTAAAAAGTGTTTATTCATGCCAATCTGTGCCGTTCTCTTAGTGTAACAATACGGGGCAATGCATCTCCTAAATGCTGTGTACTGTTGCATTTTTATTTTTTGTATCCAGTCTGACGAGATGGGAATTTATTTCACTCTGCAACTGAACTGTGGTGCAAACCAGATTTAAGATGGTCTGCAGTGAGCTGGTTTCCATACAGCTAAAGAATAAAGTCTTTTAAAGAAGCATTTGCTTTCACCACCTTTTCAAAATTTATGCCCTTGAACCCCACTCCAGATTATTTCAATAAAGCTTTCTCAAAAGTCATGCATTAAAGTATAATATTGACAGGCATGTATTGATCTGTGTCCTCTAACGCCATTTCCATGTTTTAAAGAAAACACAATAACCACAGGGCAGGGTGTCTCTCTGCACCTTTAGAAGACTGCTTGGAAAGTTCCTTGGGTTACCTTCTCCGGGTTGAAACAAACAATAATACAATTTTAAAAAGAACATATTTATAAACAGTAAAATATTTTATCAGGGTAAAGTGAAAAGTTGATGCTCAGCAACAACAACCCTTTGACTTTGAACGTTGCCTGGCCTGAAGGGAAATGTATTGGCAGCGGAGGTAATTTGGACAGGTCTGTTTAGTGCGAGGTGAGCACTTCTGTGGAGTGTCATGGCAGACAGGTGTTCTGTCGACAGAGCGTGGCTGCAGTGAAGCTGATACGAGGCTGACAGAACTCGTCGAAAACGTCTAGAACTTTTGATAAGTGAACACATAATATCACACATGCCTGCCATGCATGGAGAGCACAATGGTTTATGGTAAAAACTGCTTCAAACCTGCTCTTCAGCTTCTTTAAAAACCATTGGTATTTGCTCTAGTCTCTTCTAAAAGACTGACTTTACACAGATTGGTCTACTTATTGGTCTAAATGTGTTGAGCCCAAGGTGTAATTAATTACACTCAAATGTAACACACAATCTTGTCAAATACAGCATGGCTCAGCTATAATGGTTTAGACCTATTTGCTTAAAGCATATCAAACATTTGTGTTGTGTCCTGCCGTTCCAAACATTCAGGAATTAGGTTATAATTATCTGAAGTTTACAAAGTAACATTCCTAATAAAATAATATGGTTTATTCTTCATATAGAGAGAAAAAAAAGAAACTGAATTTGCAGTCTAAGAGACATATTGATATTTAATTCAATTCAGTTTATTTATATATTGCCAAGACACAACAGAAGTCCTGAACAGAAACATTCATATACAATATTATTATATTAATATTAATTCATTGTTGTATTTATTTTTACTACTCAATACAGATAAAGTCATAATAATAGGTGATTTCAATATTCTTGTAGACGTTGAAAGTGATAGCTCAAGCATAGCCTTTAAAAACTTAATAGAGCCAATTGGTTTTACCCAAAATGTTAGAACATTACTCATTCTCATCATCACACTCTTGACCTGGTTCTGACCTGGTTCTGACCTATGTCAGCGAGATTAATAACTTAGAACAGGATTTTGAGTATATATTACTGTCTGACCATTTTTTAATTTCCTTTAAGTTTACATTAAATGACTACACAGTTAGAGTAAATTTCACCTTATCAGAAAACGCTGTAACCAAATTTAAACAATGTCTTCCATCATTGTTTTCCTCTGTCTTGCAGAGTAATTCATCAGAGAGCAGTGACTTAGATCATCTAATTGATCAATTTAAAACTTCTTTGCAAACTTCACCCCATAAAGCTGCTCTGCTGAAAAATACAGTAATCAGTCAGAGGAGATTAGCTCCTTGGTTCAATTCTGAGTTACATAATTTAAAACAGACATCTCGAAAGCTGGAAAGAAAATTGCACTCCACTAATGGAATCTTACTTATCCTGGAGAGATATCCTGCTAACGTACAAAAAAGTGCTCCATAAAGCTAGAACTGTATATTATTCATCTTTAATTGATGAGAATAAAAATAACCCCAGGTTCCTTTTCAGTATCATATCTAGTCTAATGAAAAATCCTCTCTCTGTTCATTCATGTATCCCTACAACTATAAGCAGTGATGACTTCATGAGATTCTTTATAAATAAAATTATTTCAATTGGGGAGCAAACATTCAAACCAACATTCCTAGTATCACCTCTGGTTCTGTGTCAGATGAGACAACTTAAAAAACTCTCACTAGAATCTGATTTATGTTTGGACTGTTTTTGTCCAGTTGAGCTCTCTTTTTAAATTTTTTCTTCTTCTTTCAGCTGCTCCCTGCATTAGGGGTCACCACAGCGAACTAAGTCACACAAAGACTTTGTGATTATTTTTACGCCGGATGTTCTTCCTGACGCAACCACACACCACCGAGCTACCACAGCCTCTGTGTGGAGCAGAGAGCTGCGATCAAGGACACCTGGAGGAGCAGATGGTGGGGGTTAAGGGCCTTGCTCAGGGGCCCAGAGTGGGACGAATGAGGGTGGGGGCAGGTGTGGGTGCTTCACCTACCCCACCCACATTTTTGATGTTGTTGGTACCGGGACTTGAACCGGCAATCTTCTGATCACTGGCCCACCTTCTCTAACCTCTGAGCCACCACTCTGACTTGCATTATATTAAAAATAAATAAATAAATAAATAAAATAAAAAAAAGATCTGTTAAGAAAGTCAAGCTGTTGCTTCAGCCAATAGTTTTCAGACTTTGTCCATCGTGCATTTTGCAATTTGGAGCTAAAAGGCAGCGATTTCTTACGTGAGAAGCAAACAAGCTTTGCACATGAGAAATAAAATGTGAATACGTGAACCCATGTGAAACCTCAGGTTTGTTTTGAACCAAAGTTTAACAACGGAAAAAATAAAAATGTGAAATACATGCTGTAATGTAAAACTAGTCTTATAGAAAAATAATAGTTTTGGGATGTTTTTGACATGCTACTGTGCTTTATGTTAGTTATGATTTCCCCCTATGGTTATGGTGATAACTTTAGCATTTTATGCATCATAGCTTCAGTAACATATGGAAACCCATTTATGCCACTAAAAGACAAAAATTGTCAAACGGTATGCCATATTTATGAATTTCAAAGTTATAATTATAACCTTAAAACAAATTATGACTTTATGTTTGATAAAAAAAAGATTCTGAAAATCAAATATGATTTAAAAAAAAAATCTCAATTATATTTTGACATTACATAATTATAACTTTAAATCTTATAAATATGACTCTGGGCCTCATATTTATGATTTTGTCACTCATTTGTGAATGAAAAGTCATAATTATGACTGTGCATATAATTATTATGACTTTGAAATTCATAATTACAAATGTTTAACATATAGATATACTGTTAAAAACCTTTTTCTCTTTTTAGTGGCCAACATGGACTTCCACAGCCTCGAATACACTTTAATGAATTTTAAAGTTGTTATTATGAGAATGAAATTATGAATTTATACGTCAATTATTCTTTTTTTAAATACTTTTATTGAAAACAAGAACAAGGCAGGTTACATACAAACTATTGAGTTTTGAGACTGCACATCTTTTCAACAACAAAAATTAAATCACAATACATATTTGTCATTGTATGGGGCCAAGTTAAAAAAATTACAATAAAACCCAACAAAAGCGCTTTATTTAAGAAAGTTAGCAATAAGTCCCCACCGTCTTTCAAAGATCTGAGTTTTAAATTGTAGTTGAGCCGTTAATTGTTATGCACCCGTGTCTTATGATCAATATTTGGTGGGTCGAGTTTCATCCAATTGAACGTGATCATTTTTCTATGTATCAGTTCTTTGATCATGAGGGAGCCGATCAGGGAACTCATAAAGTAAAAAGATGAGGGTCAAAAGGGATTTGCATCTTCAGCCATCTTTCCATCACATCACCTCTCCAGAAGCCCTGCACCCGAGGACAATCCTAAAATCACGTGGTCGCCCACAAGACCACATTTTGTCCAACCGTCTCCGTTATTGTCTCTCCCAGAGACAAAAGTCTTAAACGGAGTTAAAAAAAACCTAATTCTGCATTTCCAGTTATATCTAATAATTATAGGCGCTGCATAATTATGACTTTAAATCTTAGCAATATGTGTTTCTAAATCTCATATTTATGATTTTGTTGCTCATAATTGTTAATGAAAAGTTGTAATTATGACTGTGCATTTAATAATTATGACTTTGAAACTCATAATTATAAATGTTAACTTATGCGTATGTGATAAACCTTTTTTTTTAGTTTTTCTGGCCCAAATGGGCTTCCATACCCGAACACGTTTTAATTAGTTACTGATAATTAATCGCACTTGGATTTCATGGAATTAAACTTTTTTCCGGTTTGTTTCCTCTTGGCTTCATTGAATCTCTCTCTTACTTCGGTGTTCAGGTCGTTCCCCTTTAAAAAGCTGCTGGTGGGATTATCCATGGAAGGGGTCTGGAGCAGGGAGGGGGGCAGCAGCGCACAAGGATCATGGCGGCCCCTCTCGGACGGGACGCCCTGCCCGACCGCTGGTCGTACGGAGTCTGCGGAGACGGGCGGGTTTTCTTCATCAAGTGAGGCTCTTTCACGCGCCAGAGGAAGTTTCGTTAATTTCTCTGGTGTTCCCAGTAGCAGCCAGTAACAGCCAGTAACAGCCAGTAACAGGTGTGCTTGTTTGCAGCGACAGGAGCCGGAGCACCACTTGGCTCCACCCGCGCTCTGCTGAACCCGTTAACTCTGGACACATGATCCGGTCAGGTAGGAACAGATTCTGGTCTCTGGGAGTCCTGGGGGCTCTTCATCTGCTTCTTCATCTGCTTCTTCATCTGCTTCTTCATCTTCTGATAGATCTGCCAAGAGGATGGGAGGAAGGCTTCACGGAGGAAGGAGCCAGCTACTTCATCAAGTGGGCATTTTCTTCTTCTTCTTGCTTTGCCTGGCTGTGGGACAGATCTTGTTCTGCATTAAAGTTATGTGGATTTGGTCGCTCTGCATGGCGCTTGATTCATACTGGTTTTTATCTAAACACCTACATGACAGAAAGAAATACAAACCGGATTAAGTCAGGACAGGAAGATTAAAATTCACCTCACATCCTCCATGCAGGACCTCTACCTTCCTTTAGATAGGTGTTCAGCCTGGTGTGTGTGTGTGTGTGTGTGTGTGTGGCAGAGAATGAGGGACTGTACAGGTTGCAGGAGAGGTGTGTGACCATGTGGTGACAGAGATGTATGGCATGGTTACATGATTGAAGCAGGAAGGTCGCTGTGCAGCAGGGTGAAGTTTCTCTGCCAGACTTTCACACGAATGTTCCACGATTTTAAACGGATCGTAAAAGACGCTGGATTGTCTCGAGTGCACGGACACATCGTTTTGTTTTGGCTAATTCCAGATTGCACTTCCATCTTTTTTGCATATTGTTGTTCTTTTGGGGGCTCCTGATAGTTTTCCTGATAGAAATGAGGACACAGGTGCACGCACAGAGGCTGAACTTTGCAAGATAAATTAATCTTAAAACAACAAAAAAACTCCTACTTTATAAAACTGTGAAACATGCACAGCATTGATCTGTAACACAGTGAAACATGCACAGCATTGATCTGTAACACAGTGTAACATGCACAGCATTGATCTGTAACAGTGTAACATGCACAACATTGATCTGTAACACAGTGAAACATGCTCAGCATTGATCTGTAACAGTGTAACATGCACAGCATTGATCTGTAACACAGTGTAACATGCACAGCATTGATCTGTAACACAGTGGAACATGCACATCATTGATCTGTAACAGTGAAACATGCACAGCATTGATCTGTAACAGT